ATCATGCTATAAGCATATATAATAGCATAGTGCTACCGAGCCTGGGCTGACGCATCAGCGTCCCGGGATGTAAACACCAGCGCTATAAAAAAGAAGTATAATTCCAACTCTAGGTCCTTCAAAAGAGTCATTGCTAAGGCAAAGTCAGAGCACACAGGCAGAATTGGCGAGAAACTAGTTCGCCTTCCTTCTAGAACTCGTGCATTTTTTGCATTGCCAAGGCTGTCCAGGGGAATTTCTGTCAGCCATATCTTCCATCTCTGCATAGTGAGGACGACTCACTGGCCCATACCGCAAAGGAGAAAGCCGATCTTCTGGACTCTTTCTTTGCGTCCAACTCGACTCTCGATGACGGGGGGAGTACGCCGCCGACCATCCCGCGGTGTGAGTGCTCCATGCCGGAAGTGCAGTTCACACAGCGCTCGGTTCGCAAAACACTCCTCTCCCTGGACATCCACAAGTCGAGTGGGCCTGACGGAATCCCCCCACTTGTGCTGAGGACGTGTGCTCCAGAGTTGGCACCGGTTTTAACGCGTCTTTTCCGGTACTCCTACTCCCTAGGCGTATTCCCAAAATCATAGAAGACGGCTTTCGTCCTCCCGATCCCTAAAAAAGGCGACCGCTCAGCTCCGTCCAACTACCGGCCTATCGCCATCACCTCCTTGTTCTCCAAAAAATGGAGTCCATTTTACAATGGTCCATTTTACTGGACATTTTACAATACTGCCAGCTCATGAGGTACCTTGAGGATCACCAGCTGATTAGTGACCGCCAATACGGTTTTCGCAGTGGTCGGTCAGCTGGTGATCTTCTGGTCTACCTAACTCACAGATGGGCGGAGGCAGTAGAGTCCAAGCGGGAGGCATTGGCCGTTAGTTTGGACATTGCGAAGGCCTTCGATCGGGTTTGGCACAAAGCGCTTTTTTCGAAGCTCTCTTCCTATGGGCTTCCCGAGAAATTTTGCGATTGGATCACCAGCTTTCTTACAGATTGGAGCATCAAGGTCGTTGTAGACGGTGCAAGCTCCGATTGCAAGCCTATTAATGCTGGTGTTCCACAAGGCTGCGTGCTATCGCCGACGCTGTTTCTTCTGCATATCAATGATATGTTGCAAACCCGTAACATTTATTGCTATGCAGATTACAGCGCTGTTGATGCTCTTTACACCGGCCGAGCCAATATTGCTCGGGAAAACGTCTCCGAGTGCCGGGAAAAACTTGTGTCTGAAGTCGAGTCTTTGCTGAACAGAGTTTCGGATTGGGGGCGACTAAATCTAGTCCAATTTAACCCCCAGAAGACACAAATTTGCGCGTTAACCGCTAATAAGAACCCCTTTGTCATATCTCCTCAGTTTCAAGGCACTCCCCATGTAGCCTCAGCCAGTATCGGAATCCTCGGCGTTGACATATCGAGTGACGTGCAGTTTCGTGGTCACTTGGAAGAGAAGGCCAAATTGGCCTCTAAAAAGCTTGGCGTGCTCAGCAGAGCGCGACTGTATTTCATGCCGGCACACCGCCTGCAACTTTACAAGGCGCAGGTTCGGCCGCACATGGCATACTGTTCCCATCTCTGGGCTGGGGCTCCCTAGTACCAGCTCCTTCTACTTGACCGCATCCAGCGCAGAGCGACTCGAATCGTCGACGACCGAGTGCTTTCCGATCGGCTCGATTCACTGGCACTGCGAAGACATGTTGCATCTCTTTGCATTTTATTTTGCATATACCATGGAGAGTGCTCTGAGGAATTGTTCGGATTAATCCCAGCCGCCAAATTTCGTGACCGCACTACGCGGCAAACGTCCCGATACCATCCACACCATCTGGATGCTTGGCGGTCCACCACAGTACGTTTCAAAAGGAGTTTTCTTCCGCGTACAACCTCTCTGTGGAATAGTTTACCACCGGCGATTTTTCCGGACCGATACGACCTGGAGACCTTCAAGAAAAGAGCTTACTCCTTTCTAAAGGGCCGGCAACGGACCTGCAATTCCCCTGGTGTTGCGGTTGATCATGGGCGGCGGTAGTCACTTAATATCAGGTGAGCCGCATGCTCGTTTGCCCCCTCTTCTATAAAAAAAATGTTATTATAAACGCACTTCTTCAAATATAATCGTTCGTAACTTTTTTTGAAAAGCATTTAACGAAGTTTATATATTTTTTATTAACTACACAAAAAACGAACATTTAAAAAAAGAAACATTGAAAAATGTTTGTTTATTATTTTTTATCTCACTTAAATTTTTTAAATGGTTTTCTGATTTTAAATGTAATCGCTTCTTCTAGCAATACATTTAAAGTGTATATAAACGCTTTAGAAAATCGAAATAATTATAAAAGTTAATATTTTTATATTTTACGAGTAGGTATATTGTATAAATTTACTAAAAATAATCCTACGTGCTATAATTAATAGGCTCAATATCTATACATTTCAATTCTATCGAACATGCTTCATCATATTATCAAAGGCGGAGGATCACGCCCACGTAGAATACCAGCTTGAAATAGCAAATACAGTGCTTCTGTATTTTTTCGAGTGACGAATACAAAGGGTCCTTTTATTGGACACATTCCTAGTTTTTACATGTGACAAAACATTAGCATTTTTAGCATTCTTAATCGAGGGTAGATGCAAAAGTCTATAGACCACAGCATCCACTTACCATCATGTAGAATATGTACTCACTGGATTGTGTTTCATAGAAGCAAGAGTAACAAACTAATAGTATTTTATGCATTTGTATAAAAAATCTTGTGGTCTGGAAATATAACGTCAGAAGTCACCCAACAAATGTGATTGATGCTGTTTTTACGTTTTAATTCAAAATAACTATGAAATAATAACATGTGGTTAAACTGCAACAAAAATAAACCAACATTTATCAAACACAGCAAAAATACTGAATCAAATACTTTTATTTCGACAACCAATGTGAATAACATTGTAATTCAATGTGACATGGTTTACAGCATAGCCATTTAATTTTTTTTAAGTTTATAATTTATTTGCAGCTGGAAGAATAGGTAGTTCTGTACAATTTTAGGTTTCATGATACTGATTTTAATTGCTTTTTCAATTGGTTTGGATGCTGTTTCGATAAATCTACTGCAAGTATGATTTTTGCAATGTTACAATGTACAAGTTTTAAGCATTTTTAATATGAAAAGCAATGTAACTACCGCTACAATTGGGTCACGAAAACATTTGAAAGTTTTTTTCGGTGATTATTATTGTAACTTATTTTACAAATTGACAAATAGGAAATCTTTCATGAATGTTATTGTAATCAGCAATTACAATGTGTATCAATGTTACATTGGGATATAAAGACATGGTAAGTAGTATGTGAGATATAATAAAAATCAATTTACAATATTTTATTCATTTTAATAGGCCGCCAGCACAGATAACAATATTTAGTCTTGAATGTCGAAATTATTTGAAACGGTGTTTGAGTGTGGCAAGTTGGTATAAAAATGTCTATATTGCTCCGGAATTGCACCGCTGGAGCATAAGCTGCACAAGTCTTTGTATTTGTTTTGATTGATTGGGTGTAAGTTTTCATAGGCTCTATTAAATTATGACCCCACAACGCAGCCAAAGATTCATTTATATTTAGACGTCTAGTCTTGACTTTGCGGTAGTCCAAATCTATCCAATTTAATTGATCGCTGTAAAAATCATTTTGAAACATTATAATGTTTGGCGATTCGAAATTAATTTTAATATGATTAACTTTTGACCACATAGTTTTTTTTTATCATTGTCTGATTCCCAATTGGGAACTAAAGTTAACAATGACTTAAAATCAAATATTTCATTTTGAGTGACCTCGTTCATGACGTAGGGTTTGCCTGTAATCTTAGCACAACGTATTAGTGTGTACCATTGTTGTGGTACATAAACAACTTAGTTTTTCTTACGTCGCTCTATAAGAGCATGCATTGAGTCCCCTTCTTATTGAGAATGCCCAACTTCAAAGAAGTTGTGTGTAATAACTACACCAAATATTTTGAGGCGTAAGCATACATTAGAAATACAATTCGGTTTCTATTTTGGCCACCACAGCAGTCTGAATAGAAAGGAAATTCTCTTATACCTTCGGCAGCCTTCTTTTTTATAAAACCATATAAGAAGCTAGCACACATAACAGTGCCCTTCAGCAGATCCTATGTCGAAAATTGTAAAATTGAAAACTTCAAATTTTCTCTTGTAATAGAAGGTTGATACGTCAGACTGTGGAGTAGTTAAAATTTTTTGTAAATCAAAACATGAAGTTAACAATTTTTTTTAGATTGTTTGGCTTCTACCTTATCGTTGTCTTTTATATGACGTATGATAAATTTATTTGCCATATGTAATGCGTAATCACGTGCTGTGATTTCTTTTTTCTAACTCTGAAGCTTTTTCATGAACCTCACATTTCAAACATTGATCTTTCTTTGGCTTGAAGAATTCTATATTAAATTCTTTATAAAAAATCTGCCTGTACTGTTCTTGGGTAGCTTTGGTATCACTTGGATTATTTTTAGTCATCCATTCAATGTAAAGAGAGTATAGCTTAGGAAAAGTGAGTCATTCTTCAAAATAAAGTTTGGATATTCTTTGCCTTACGTAGTGTGATTCTTTGATAGGAATTGAATTAATATGCTGGCGAACTGAAATCTTAATATTTTCATTTATTGCGTTCCCTCTATTGCTATGCTTACCACGCCTATCGTTTGCAATGACTTCTTCATTATTTTCATCCATTTTTTGAACATCGTCGTTATCAACATATCTGTAATATTGAATGAATCTAAAAACATTTTTTACGCACTCTGATTTTTTCTCCAAGAACAGGTAAGTAATACTCATAAGTGCAATGGCGTCTGGAATTAATGTTGTTTAGTTGTACTGTTTTACGCTGGACTCTGGTTATAAATCTAGCTAAATACTCAACTTGTTTGTCATGGTTACCCATTGCCCAAAATTGTGTGAATAATTGTTTTCGGTGATCATTAGATATATTTGTGTGACATTTTTTCAGTTTCAGTAATAACTGGAGCTTTTAAGAGACTAGAACTACTAGGTAAACACACATTTTGATGCAAGGAGGCGATCAAACATGGTTCTAGTGGCATCTCTGGTTCACGCCTTTCCGGGCTGCACGACGGATCGTCATTGGTGACTATATCACATAAAGTAGGCTCCTGGTGCAAATTTTCAGTCATCACTGGAGTTTCCAAGATACTGGAACTACTAGATATAGGCAGATACACATGTTGATGCGAGGAGCCGATCGAACATGCATTTAATAGTATCTCTTGTTCCTGCTTTTCCAGGCTGCACGACAGGATCTCATAGGTGAGCAAGTCAGGTAGAGCCGGGTCTTGGTGAAACGTTTCAGTCATGGCTGGGCTTTTATTGATTGATCGTATTGATAATTTCGACCCAAAAATATTAATATTTTCAAGGACTTGAACCGCAGCACAATCAGAGTCTGAAAAAAAAATGTTTTCAAGCTAAGTAGAATGTTAAAAAAGCTGTAGATAAGAAGTTAATACTGGTGCCAATTGTGACAGGCAGCTTTTTATATTAAATAAGCTTGAAGTTCTTTTCTTAACTTAAACATTAGGTAAGGGTTGGCACGAATCTCAATGTTATCATTATTATAAATGAAGTAGAATGTAATGATTTCTTAAATTTACGCGAACACTACACATTGAATAAAACTATTATTTACGGATTTTATCGCGTTTAATTACTTTTTTTTTATTAATTTATTAGAATCAACAAACAGTTTACACAATATTTATTAATCTAAAATACATTCACTACAAAATATAATATAATAGTGCAACCAACACCGTTGACCACCAATTACTATTAACAAATGTTTAGATTGAGAATAGCGTACAATTTTTTTCATATAATACAGTGATTGTGTTTTCAAATGACACAGTAATAAAGAAAAATAATTATTATTTTAATAACCAATTATACAAACTCATTCTCCTCTGAGTACTGAAAGTAATTCTTTTTTATAAATACCCACCTTGTGGGATAATGTCAATATTATTGAAAGTATTATTATAAAAATTTAACAACATATATATAGGAGATCTTTTACCTACGTTGGTTCGACATTTATTAGTAAAAAATGTATATTTAGCACGAACTCTGCGACACAATGGCCTATTTGGTACTCTGTATTGTATCATCTTAACTAGTTCTATACTATCGTACCTGTTATGACAAATATCATACAGTAGCATAGCTTGAATCTGTTGACGTCTGAATTCTAATTTTAGTAAGTTATATTCGACCATCAGTTGATAGTAGGGTAATTTAACTCGTCTGCACTTGTAATTTACACTACGCAAAAACTTTTTCTGAATGGATTCTATTTTATCTATATATTTATTATAATACGGACACCAAATAGCTACCGCATATTCGAGTTGTGATCTTATTAATGATTTATAGAGGTGCAAATAAGTGAGAGGTTTTTTAAATTCACGTCCAATACTCATCACGAATCCATACATTTTAAGAGCCTTATTAATGACATTTTCAACATGTGTATCAAAGATAAGTTTACTATCTAATATTATTCCTAAATATTTAATTTTATGAACTTTTTCTAATGGAACACCACATAAAGAATAATTAAAATTACTTTCCTGGCGCTTACGAGTAAACGTTATGGCTTTACATTTATTAACACTCAAATCTAACTTATTGTTTTTACAGTAAGATGTAAAATTATCTAAATCTTTTTGAAAGTTGAGATGGTCATGATAATATTGAATTTTGTGATAAATTTTAATATCATCTGCGTACAGAATAAAATTACAAAACTTGAAACAACTATTAACATCATTAATGTACAGGATAAAAAGAAGAGGCCCTAAGATTGATCCTTGTGGCACACCAGAACTTATATGCACAATATCTGACTCAAAACCTCTTATAACTACTTTTTGTGTACGATTTGTCACATACGAACTTAAACCATCTCCACAAATTACCACAGATACCATTAAAGGCCAGCTTTTCCAGAAGTAGTTTATGGTCTACGCGATCGAAAGCTCTCCGGAAATCTGTGTATATGCAATCAGTCTGGACGTTACTATCCAGATTCTCAAATAAGTAGTTTGTATAAATTAATAAGTTAGATATAGTCGAACGCTTATTAATAAAACCGTGCTGCTGTGGAATTATTATATTGTGAAGACTAGAATATAACGCATTATGTATTAACCTTTCAAAAGTTTTAGTGAGTGTTGATAAGATCGATACCGGTCTGTAATTCTCAACATCTTTTTTTGAGCCTGCCTTGTAAATTGGTACAACACGAGCTGTTTTCCAAATAGATGGGCATATCCCATCTTTTAAGCATTTATTAAAAAGGTAATGAATTGGTTTCGCAATAGTATGTGCTGTAGCTTTCAGAAAATAAGGAGGAATGTTGTCAATACCAGCTCCTTTATTCGCGTCTAAATTTAAAAGGGATTTTGTTACATCTTTTTCAAAAATAGAAATGTCAGTAATAACGAAATCAGAATTTTTATTACTTGATATATTAATATTATCTATATAGTGACTGAAGTGGGTTCAAATACCGAAAAGAAAAAAAAGAGAATAAATTACATACTTCCTTGGGGTTACTAGCAAATTTGTCTTTATAAAAAAATTCTGACGGAGTTTCTAGGGTACTTTTGCAATTTTTTACATATTTCCAGAAATATTTAATATTTTACGTTACACAATTCTCAACAGTATCCATATAACGAGCATAACGTAATTTAGATTCAGTTTTAAAACTTTTTCTGTACAATTCAAATGTTCTATAATCTGATAAATTTCCGTACTTTTTCCATTTAACCCAAGCATTATTTTTATTTTTGAAGATATGTATCAATGATGAATCAAACCACTTAGGAAAATTGCTGTTTTTTACAGTTTTCCTTACTATATATTTGCGTATAATACCATATATTCCGTCATAAAATAAGTCCACAGCAGCTTCAGCAGAAACGTCGTCTTTCATCAAAGCCTTCCATTCAGTATCCAATATTACTTTATTAATCACTACGTAGTCCGCACTTTCAAAACAGTAACGTGTGTGTTTACTCGGCATGCCTCGTATTTTCTCGACAAACGGTACAATTACATAAAATGGAGGATGATGTTTATCAGTACTTACTAAAGGAATAGGGGCTGGACATAATATATAGTCATTTATGTTAGTAATAAATAGATCTAGAATAACATTATTTGAATTTTTATATGTATTAATTTGTATAAAATTATAAAGTGATATAAAATTTATTAAACTATTGCGTGAAATTGATATATCGGAAGAATAATTACTTTCAAAATTAAGATCCATATCATTGTAATCTATAGATGGCATATTGTAGTCTCTTACTAGATAAAAATTATTACATAATTGGTATTGATTAACTATACCAGATAAATATTCTATATAGCTCAAGTATACATCACTCTTTTGGCTAGGCGCAATATAGACAGCATTTAATAGATAAAGTTTTTTACCCCCCCTAATCTCAAGTGTAACGTAATCTATAAGTGGGGAAAGTGCGGACGCAGAGAAAGAAGTCCGGACCTCGACAGTGCTAAGTGTACGGCGTACCGCTATGAGCACTCCCCCACCGTCCCTCCGATCACACGCATTACGATTTCTGTCACATCTATACACAGTATATCTAGTATCAATGAATTCGTTATCAGAAATATGACTATGTAACCATGTCTCCGTTAAAATAATTACATCATATGCAAAAGAAAGAATGTTCGTATATATAGTATGTAATTTGGTCCGAAGCCCTCGGCAGTTTTGGTAGTAAATAGACAAGCTATCTATTTTTAAATGTAAGAAATTGTACTGTTACTGAAATAATAATGTTAAATTTATGTATGTTTAATATGTATTGAATTATATGTAACCCTACAAATAAATAGACATCAACAGTTATAATATGTATTTCCTTAAGATTACGAGTAAAAACATAAACAAAGACTATTTTGCCCGCTTTGATCAACAGCCAACTTAGTATATTAAATAACATGAAAACAACATTCGTAAGGCTCAACGTACTTTTGCTTACCCGCAAGGGTATAATATTAACAAATTGATATTTAATTAAATTTACCTCACAAAATAAAATATAAAAAGAGAAAGGAGAATGAGTACATACTAGGACAATGTTAAATATTATTAGTTTTAAGTCCAAACTGTAATTGTTTGAAACAACACCACTATTTAATATTTTTAATATTATCCAAAGATCGAATTGCCATAACTTGTGACCTATCATTCTTACGCACCAATATAGTTCCATGCTTAACCCACACATACTTGTATTCATTAGCTTTAGCTGCATTTCGACATTCACGAAATAAAATCTTATTTTTTAATGTCAAATGCTCATTCACATATATATTATGCGATGGTCCAGAGATTGATAACTTCTCTGAATTTAAATTTTTACGTACACGGCAGGCAGCGAGGAAGTTGTCACGAAGAATTTTTGATGAAAATTGTACAATAATATTTTTTGGGCGAGAATCCTTATGGTCAGCATGAGGAACTCGATGAATTGCGGTGATATCAGTCGAAAGAATCTTTTGGTCAACTATAACCCCCAAATTAGTTATAATAGTAAAAAGATTTTCGCCTTTTTTTTCAGGTATATTTGAAATTTCAAGATTATTGCCCCTAGCCTGTTGTTCCATTAATGATAACTTATTTTCCTGACCAGCATTCCGCTCCGAAACCTGTTGGATTTTTTCTTCAAGCCCTTTAATACGAGCGTCAAATGAATCTTGACGTAACTCAGAGGAACATAGTGTGTTATCGATATCCATAAGCTTATTGTTAACTTCCAGTAACGAATTTTTTAAAGCCGTATTATCTGAAATTATCCCGGCTACGGCCAATTGGATGTTAGTTAAGGCATCCGTTATTTTGGTGAGCTCAGCAGACAAAACAGAGCGCACCGAGTTTGTCACTAATTTTTCTATGTATTTTTCGTTTAAGATATTGTTGGAAAATATCGTACTATTTTCGGATGTGTCGTCCATTTCTTTGCGCTTTCTACAAGTAACGAAGTTATTGGTAGAATCGATTTCACGGTGCAGATCTGGGCTTGACATACACTTTGTCTTTTGCGGAGGTGTACGTTGCATCGCAAATACACAAGTGAGAAGAAAAATATGCACTTGTCTTTTGCTAGCAGAGGTGAGGTGCGGGCGCCCTTCAGGTTCATGAGATTCAATGCTAGAAAAAGAAACAATTATCCAAGTTCGATCGATCGTTACAAACTTTGTAGATTATCACAGTTAATTGAATACACAAATATGCACCGAGAAGTTGCTGTTTTTAAAAGTCAAGTTTGTATGCACTTTTTTGAATAGTTCTTCAAACAACAAACTGCACGTCTACTCTCAACGATATTCAAAAACAGACTGTGACTTTAATTTATTTTTATTATTATCCCGACGTTTCGGGTGCTTTACAGCACCCATGGTCACGGGGAAGACTGGGATGTTTGACGTCCCAATGTCATAGTTAGTCCGGCTACCTTCAGTTTTTTTAATATTAATTTTTGGTCCGATTTACGCAAAACGAGCTTATAGTATCATGAAGTCTTGCAGTGGTATGCTTGGGTTTGGTTTTAATATTGTTAATTATAGGATCCCAAGCAGATGGTAACACCCAACCATCTTCTCTATTGAAATTTGGATGTTTTATAATTTAATTAAAATTAAAAATTAACTAATTAAAAAAATTAAGACTAACTATGACATTGGGACGTCAAACATCTCAGTCCCCCCCGTGACCATGGGTGCTGTAAAGCACCCGAAACGTCGGGATAATAATAAAAATAAATTAAAGTAATTAAACGCGATAAAATCTGTAAATAACAGTTTTATTCAAACAAGTAGAATGTAGATTCAACAAGTGGTAAAAAGTGCATGCTATAGCTTGGTACAAAGGTAATGAAAGTACCTAAAACAGAGTTGTAATTTTGGTGTACATGTCTTGAACTTGAAGCTAGCTCTACACCCAAATTACTGGTTGGAGTACTGGAGTAATTAGTGAATTAATTTCCACGTTATGTTCCTCTGCCTCTTGACAATTACTAAGTATTTCAGTGCAATCACTACCTGAAAAAAATATATATTAAGATAAAACCATCAAACTAAATTTAAGTAATACAAAAATTAGCTTCTATAAAATATGTGTCAATGAATTAAGAAATTTAGGTAAGTAATATTCCATGTGCCTAAGTAATAAATATTATTTGCAGGCAGTTTAAAGTTACACGTACCAGTATACTGTATTCTTGAGCTTTGTGGCTGAAGGGGTAGATATTCGTCCTAAAAATCATCAGCTGAAATATCACCATCATTATCGTCTTCTGAATAGGCGTAATGAATGGGGCGATTACGCCGCCGTCTTAATTTTTTATTAAAGTTTATTAATTCGGCACCTATAAAAAAAAAGATTTTAAGTAGGTAGATATGAGTTATTACTAGATAGGGACATAACAAATAAAGGTAAGAATAACTTTTTAACAACAAGAATACCAACCATTGAGTAATTCAAATTGACATCTGTTGCGTTTCTTATAGACATCCATTTGATTTGAAGTGTCGTTAGTTGGAGTATCCGAACTTTCTGTGAATCAGATAATCATAAACTAATTTTATTTTATGTTCAATATTCATTAGGTTTAGTTGTTCAACTCAAGTCTAACTAGCGAAGTAACAAAAGTAAACACAAATCAAAACAATTGAAACTTTTAGGTTATAAATAAGATAGCATGTAATATCTGTGTTTATTACTTACCCATTGATTCCAAAACTGAGACATCTTTTTTGCGAAGGGGACTCACCATAAGCTTCCCACGAGACTTCATTATCACAATAAATTTAATCCACAAACAGTCACTATCACTGGAACAAAACGTCAACTGAGCAGAAATCTGACAGTAATGGCGGTTATGTTTATGAATAAAAATATTGCTCGCTAACAATAATATGGCATATAATGATAATATTATATTCAAAAGACGAACTCGAAAGTTAGTCTCGATGTCAACACCGCAACTTTATTTACAATTATAACGTTATCAAACATTTTACAAAAAAACATTGTAATTTAAAATTACAACGTGGTCAAAGTAAAAACAGTCTAATAATTTAAATGAATAATATTGTATGTCCATTTGCAATGACTTTAACACAAACAAACAATTGTTACTCAAACTTTTGTGTATTGCAACTTCATCTATAATTATACTTCAACGGAAACACAGTAAATTTTCTATTACAATGAAGTTATTCCATTTCACAAAAGTACTTCTTATTGTCATACAGATACGGTTCAAAGACCGAAATAAAAGTCTGTTCTTGCTGAATTCATATGACATTAATAAGTACCAACGTGTGACTACAGTTACAATGTTGTTCATATTGGGTGTCGATTTATCGTTGTTCAAGAAAATAGATAAACTAAAACGAAACTAGTTTAATCGCACAAAAATGTAAATACTGAGGTCTTGTTAATGATGGTTAAGTTAGCTTTTTTCTTTGGAAATTTGTTTGGAGAGAAATATTCTTAAGGGACTTTAGTTCGAAAAACAAATAATGAAATAAAACTCGATCTAGTTTGTAACAACTTCTGACAACTACGTGATGCTTTTAATAGTTGGCACTTTTTTATCCATCTGTTTACAATTTCGTAATAATGCTTTATGTTTGCTAATTTTTCTGATCTATTTCATGATATTGGTACTTTTATGGAAAAGATTTTGAACGTGTCTAGAAGTATGTATGATATTTCTGGGAGGCCTTCAAAAAGGCTAGGAATCGCTGCAATCAGGTGGTGAGGTCTGCTAAACGCCGATATTTTCATTACTTCCTAATTAATTCTTCGCAATCGGAGACATGGAAGTTCATTCACTCTCATAGTCTCAGTAAAACTAAAAAACAAATAATCTCATATATTATCTCATTAAATGATCTCAATGCTCACTTTTCTACAGCGGCTTGTCTCCCATCTCACATTAAAATGAAAACTATTTCGGATATTACTTCCATGTAATCCCC